ATATAGGTTAAATAAGCAGGGTGACAGTATACAGCCTTGTCATACTCCTTTCCCTATTTTGAACCAATCGGTTGTTCCATGACCGGTTCTAACTGTCGCGCATGCACACATACACACATATATAGCTATTGGTGAATATATATATTCACTCATTCTTTTTGGGCTGAACTGTAACAGAGAAACAGATAAAAAAATTGCTTGACTCTGTTTCAGTCCCACTTTTTTCTCAGTAAGATTCTCAAGTCAGCTGACAGAACCCAAACAGTGACAGAAAGCACATAGTGCAAAATAGTAGACTAGAATGTTCTTTGAATTCCACAGACCTCAAGTCTAGTTGTATATTGATGCACTTTAGAAACATTTAGGAATTGTCTTTGAACCTGAACTTCCCTAAAACTTAAATTAGTGATTTGGTTAACAAAAATTGAGATGTTTATACCTCCACAGCTCTCTTTCTTTGGGAAATGCTAAAATGGGGGACAGAGAGGGGATATAGTTTTATGGTTGCTCTGCCTTCTAATAATAGAAATGGTTTTATCAGAGCTTTCCATTCAAATGTGTTTGTTTGTTTGTTTGTTTGTTTGTTTTGTGGGAAGGATATAGCCACAGAACTGTTCAGTGTGCTTTAGGGAATATGGGTATAATAGAGTGTAGGCGGAGTCAGCAAATGTTTCTTAGCTTGGGTCACCTGTATTTCATTTTGTAACTATAGACCCCAGAAACTTGGAAGGATGAATACATTTTTTTTTCTGGAAACCCAAAGGGTGTTTTTTTTAAATAAAGCCATAGAATATATTTATCTAAAATCTAGAAGACTTGATCTCTCACAAAGGAGATATTCCTGCAAATTTATATAGTTCTAGAAGGAACTTTAAAAAGACTTTAAAAAGTTCTCTAATGTCTAGCACAATGTCTTCTACCCATTTATCTGGAATTTGGCACCCTCACAGAGGAATAGTACACTTGCAAATTTCATTTCTATCTGCTAGCAAACTGCTCAGAGCTTTTGGGTAGCCATTGAGAAACCAAAAAGCTGGACTAAGATGGGCTGCGGCCTGATCCAGCAGGGTTGTTCTTATGTTCTTTTGTTTTGTTAACAGAAAAAGGAAAGTAGAACTGTTTGTTAATTTACACTGAGAGGAAATAGGCAAAACAAAGACCTCGCTTTCCAAAAATGGCATTTGGATATAGACCCTAGCAAAAAGGGAGAGTATCCAAATTATTCTGTGGTATTTCAATCAGGCCTTTTTTTTTTTTTTTTTTAAATGCACAATGGGGGTCTGAATCAAAACTTACAACTTCATCTCAGTTGGGTTTAAGCAACCATAATACTGCTCCTTCATCCATCTATAACTTGGTTGGGTTTTGCCATAAGCATCTTCCACAAACATAAGACAATGCTGGTGAACCTTTCATGAAATACTTAGTTAAAGTGAGATTAATGTTTAATTGGTATGATAATATAATGAAGTGTCTGTTGTAAACTGGAAACTTGCTAGGGTTTTCTTTCTTTGCAATTGCTGAGTTTTTAACTTGGAGAGAAAATGAGAATCCATATCCTAAAGTTGTCCTGGATCCTTAAACTCAATTGAGCCTATTTCTAGGTAGGAATATAAAAGATTGGACTACTAGTTTTCTTTTACATCTTCATTTCCTTTTTTCCCCCAAGGTGTGTTTAGAATGTGGAGAAGACTATTGTCCTAGTTGCTTTGCCAGAATACACCAGAAGGGGGCACTGAAACTGCACAGAACAACTTCTTTGAAGGTATATTTCTTTCCAAAGCCTTGTTTAATCATTGCAAATTCTTTTCTTCTAAGAAGGCATATTACCATTAAATACGTGCACAAACAACCACCAAGACAAATTTAGGAGCATTTTTAACTGTGATATGTAGAAATCCTCTTGGCGGGTTGAGATCTTATTCTCCATTTATTCTTACCAATGTTATTATGTAGAAACAGCCCTAAATCAGTAGGAAACCCAGAATATATACTTGAAACTCTGTGTGGAGAATTGTGTTTGAAGCCCATAACTCTATTCAGCTAATGCAAATAATTACTATCTGCAGATAGCTTGTAATGGCTATGACTTTTTTTTTCCAGGATGTGAGTGCATTTATGCAGTAGTCTGCTCACAAGAGCTCTTGGCCACAGTGACTCACATGTGCAAGCTTTCCCAACTGAAAGCAATAGAACACTGTCTCATTATGAATATTTCACTTTATATATAAAAGAGGTAGAGATCACACCTGTTTTTGTATTTTTTTTTTTTTTTAATCTGCGCTCAGTCGTT